CTTCTTCCCTCCTTTCTTTGAAGGCAGCTTGCCAAGCTGCATTCAAGAGAGAGGCCCCCGAAGAGTCCTCGGCAGCCTCCAAGCCTAGGAGGCCTGCTGGGGGCTTCTTTGTGGGCTCCTGGGGCGCCTCTGGGCGGCCTCTGCGCAGGGGATCCGTCGTGGGCCCCTCCGTGGTGGCCTGTGCGTCGCGTGCCCGTGCGGTCGTGCCAGGGTCTTCTTGGGCGAGATGCTTCTACCGAGAGGTTCCGTTTATTGTTGTTTTGTTTTCCTTTTTCCGAGGCCGCGGTCTCACCCTCTCCGCCTTTGAGGGGCCGGCACGAGCGTCCTGCTCTGCTCTGTTCTCTCCGAGGGGATGGGGGGAATCAGGATGGGGGAGGAGGAGGTGGGCGAGAACGCCACAGCCCAGCCGCTATAGACCGCCTAACGCCAAAGGAGGTGGGCGACGATTCCCGAGACAGTGCTTGTACCTATGGTCTTCGGGTGCGGCAAAGAGGGGAGTGATGACTAAGGGGAGGTGGATATCATGGCGGGCGCCATGATATTTCCCCAGATTTCATGGCGCCTCTTCTTATTTCATTACGTCCCTGGCCCCCCTGCTGGGCCTCGCGCATGCCGCCGGTCATGATTTGCACCCCCCCCTTTGACACCTCCCTCTTGGCCGCTCCCGAGGTCTACGACTCCGCTGTTGATCGGGTCACTGGGTGGGTCCGCGGGCTCTGCGTCCAGTGCCCGCCCGTGCCCGCCGCGTGGCCGCTCCGTGCGCTTGCCGTTTGCCCCCTGGCTTAGCTTTAATCGGGCCTGTCCTTCTACAGTGGGATTCTGGACGGAAAATTCAAAGTAGCCAAGATATGCCCCAAGATGGTCAAACAATACTCCCAAAATCGTCCCCAGGCTCTTTTTGCTATTTTTGAATATTCCCCCTGTAGAGGGACAGGCCCGACTTAAGCTTCGCTCTTGCTTCAAAGTGCACCGCGCAGCCCGCGCCGTATAGATCCGTGAAAAGAGTTGGGCTCTACTGTCGGGGAAACGTAAGGCTCGAGTAAGCCAGAACTCGGGTTTGCCGATTTTTTTTTGTCGAGCGCGTCCTGGATTTTGATGGTCCCGTTCTCGTGGGATGTTTGCAGCGGGAGCCCGCGTCAAATTTCAGATTGGGTCTCGTCAGTTTGATTATGGTCCCCGTCAGGCCAACCCGAGTCCCCCGTACTCGAGTCTTACGTCTCCCCGATATTGGGCACACCTGGGTACATCTGGGGAGGCAGAGGCCAACAGGCCCAGGCCTAGCGCCAATTACCATTATCATCACCATTACCATCACAATACTCATCATCCTCATCATCATCATCACCACCATCATCATCATCATCATCATCATCATTATCAACAACATCATCATAATCCTCAGCATCATCACCATCAGCATCATCATCCTCATCATCATCATCATCATCGTCATCGTCATCGTCGGCATCAACAGCATTCGCATCTGCATCATCATCAGCATCATCACCACATCAACATCATCATATCAATCCTAATCCTAATCCTCCTCCGCATCCTCATCATCACCAGTATCATCGTCATCCCCATCCGCATCGTCATCTTTGCACCACCATCATCATCACCATCACCAGCATCATCATCATCGTCATCATCGTCATCATCATCATCATCATCGGTAGCACCATCAGCATCGGTATCGACATCGCCATCATCATCATCATCATCATCATCATCATCATCACCACCATCACACTCATTATCAGCATCACCACCATCGTCATCCTCATCAGCAGCATCATTATCAGCATCATCTTCGTCATCGCCATCCTCATCATCATTAGCTCCATCATCATCATCATTTTCATTGGCATTCTTTCGAATGCGCCCATGCGGGCTATACGTGCGCGCATGTCGAACACATTCATCGTCGTGCACTTGCAAACTGTGAAGCAACACCATGCCCACCTTCGCGAGTCTTTGCGCGCGCACGTCGAACTCCTTTCTAATATATAGGTTGTCTGACCCCAAGTGGTGTCCACGAGTTGTTGTCAGCATTTCTGGATTTCTGTGCGCGTGCATGATCATACTCATCATCATCATCATCAGCATCATCTTCATCTTCATCATCATCATCATCATCATCATCATCATCATCATCATCATCATCATCATACTCAACATGATCATGATCACCATCACCATCATAATCATCATTTCGATCATCATCCTCACCAATGCTATCGTTATCATCATCGCCAGCGTCATCATTGCCAGCTCATCATCATCGGCGCTCGCCCGTCTCAGCCCTGAATTCATATACAAAGGGTCCTTGCTTCACTCAGCCAGTTGAAGGACTACCAATTAATTGCGGGTGGGTGGGTGGGATATTTATTCACGCTTTTGGAGTTGACGACGAGCAGTGGAGTGGCTGTGTTCACGTTCTTCATCAATTTGCGCACCATGTTAATTTGCACCGTCCAATGTGCATTCCAAATGTACTGCCCGACATGACTATCACAACAGCTAGTGCTACATCCACGGTCGTAAACTATTCAGACTAGAATCCCATACTTCACACATGCGCAGTGCAAGAACCCACACGCTGGCAAGCACTCGGGCAATCAAAAACTACTGTATGCTTGAGGTGTTCCAGTGTTGGCAGTGCTCACACATTCCATCGTGTTTTTCGTGTGCCTTCAAATCAGCCCGTGAGCACAGGCACCCATAGGCATCTTCCGAGTGGTACAGGGAATTCAAGTGCATCAGCAGACAGGACGGTGAAGAAAATCACGAGGAGAGAACGAAACTGAGAATGGACATTGGGTTTGGAAGAGAAGCGTCGGCGTTCGGCACGGAGTGGATCCGCGCTAGACTCCCTGGCGGACGCTCGGACGCTCGGAGGTCCACGCGGTTCTCTTGGATCAGCGCTGGTCGCCTCTGGCGGCGCCGCCGACCCGGCCCCTGCTGCGCGGAGCACCCCAGAGAGGGGGCCTGGCGCCGATCCCAGACACCCACGCCGACCTCCGGAAATTAGTGTTTATGCCGTCGCTCCTTCTTCCTAAGGTTAAATGACACCGCGCCCAACATCACGAAGGTAAGTAAGGTAACGTAACCCATAGGGTAAACAACATCACGAAGGAAGGTAAGGATCTTAATCTCATCACACCCAGGATAAGCAATCTCACCCATACGGCATGCGGCGAAGGTGAGTAACATCACACCCAATGTGAACTGCCAGCGCTCGCTGCTCCAGGCCCTGCCAGCAGAAGAGAAGGTGCAGGGGGGCGAGTTCGCTCGGGGGACCTGCCTGGTGCTCACCCAGCGGATATGTTCCACTCCACTCCGACCCCAGCTCGACTCAAGTTCGACTCGAGTCGACCGCCTTTCTCTTCATCATCGACGCCCTGGCGGAGCGAGAAGTTCAAGGAGGGCTTATTGAAGACACAACCGAACACTGAGTTAGAATATCAAGAACTGGTCCTAACCGACAGTTTGGCCAGGCTTGGTCTGAACCGCGCTGGTGGCTATCCGATCGAATTGTATTCACATTTCTATGGCTCTGCAGTGCGCAGGCCGATCCCAGCTGCATGCAGCAGATTTCGTGCCCCCTCCGCTTTGCCTCATCCGCGCGCAGATGGGGGCACGGGGGAGGGGGAAGGCTTCTTAGAAACACCCCTGCTTGTAAGAAGCCTTCCCCCCTCCCCCTACCCCACTGTGCGCGCCCCCCTGTGCGCGCCACCAACTGTTCTGCCGATCGGCGCGGGCCCTCGCACCCCCCCCTCCCCCCCCATGGAGTAGATCTTGGCCGTTTTGGGCGCCTGTTTCGAGCAGGTGGAGTCCCACCCATAGGACGCACTGATGAAAACAGTCGCAGTTAGCAGAGGTCCGGAGCCAGACCCCCCCCCTCCCCCCCTTCTGCCCAATGTCGAAACGCCGAACAAGAAAACGCTCAAACTTCCAATTCCCCCCACTCGTCCGACACGGTGGGCGCGAAGGGGGGCGAAAAGGAGCGAGGCGAGGCACGGCGAGCGGGCCGCCCCGCGTGAGGCGGATGCGCCGCGAACGCCAGCGGAAGGACGGGGAATCGTTGACGACGTCGAAGACGTCGATGACGAGGACGAGGACGAGGACGACGACGACGAGGACGGCGACGACGACGAGGACGAGGGCGACAACGACGAACACGACGGCGACGACGACGAACACGACGACGACGAACACGACGACGACGTCGATGACGACGAGGACGACGACGACGGCGACAACGAGGACAAACACGAGGACGACGAGGACGACGACGGGATCGACGACAACGACGACAAGGACGACGACGACGTGGATGACGACCACCAGGACGAGGACGAGGACGACGACGACAAGGTCGACGACGATGATGATGTCGATGCTGACAACGACGACGACGAAAGGTAAGCGAAGACGACTACGGAGACGAGGAGGGAGGCGAATCCAAGTCGGCGACGCGCACAAGGGGGCAGGGGGAGAGGGGACACCTTCCAAGGAGGAGCCTGCTTCCTGGAGGGCGCCGGCCGTTCCACCTGCAGGCAGGGCCCGCGCCTTCTTCTGAGAGGCCCTCCTCCCTCCTCCCGCCCTTTTTGGTGCGCGCCGCCAACCAACAGCACGGCGACGCCTCCTGGTGGTGCGTTACCAACCAGCAGCAAGGCGACGCCTCCTGTCACCGCTCACCAAGCCACCCCAGCCCAAGCCGGAGGCCCCAATCTGCTCTCTATGACTCTATTTCCACTGGGGGGGGCGTCGGGGAACATGGAAAAAACACACATGTCACCCGCACCCCCCCCCCCCGACCCGAAATTTGGGCCTTCGGGTCGGGTTGGGGTGTCCTGGCAGGTACTCATCCCGGGGGTGCGCTGCCGAAGGGAGGGCGATCTTTTGCGGCGAGGGGGCGGCGCCCGGGCCGCGGGGCCTCAGCTCTGCCTCGCCTCCCTGGGCGTTGGCCGGTGCCTGCCTCCCGCCGGGCCGAGGAGCAGCGGGCGCAGGAGGCTGTCGTGGAGCAGTCGCGGCTCGAGGAGCCGCCCCGGGGATCAGCGGCACGGACGTCGGGGGCGGTCAGGAGGGGGGTGCTGACCGCGGGGGGGGTCTCATGGCCAGGGCCATGAGATCTCCCCAGGTGTCATGGCCCCTCTTCTGATTTCAGTGCGTTCCCTGGCCCCCTCCCTGGTCCTCGGGCCATGAATTGCACGCGCCCCTCTTGGACGCCCCCTCTTTGGACGCCCTCGAGAATGGAATGGGTACGGAAAAATGGATGCGGTCGGACCGAGGTAGACGATCGAGGTCGGTTCGGGGAGGGTACCCTGATGTTCTTCGTGCTTGTGGGGTGTTTTCGTGCATCCTGGATTCCATTTGAACTGGGCGCAGCCCTGGTATGATTTTATTGGAGCTAGATGCATCTCTAGTAGGATTGCACGAGAGCTGGCCGCCGCTCCAGTAATATTGTGTGAGAACCGCAGCTTTAGTGGGTTTGTACTCGAGCTGGACGCAGTTCTAGTAGGATTATATGAGGGCTGGACGCAGCTCGAGTAGGATTCTATGAGAGCTGGGCGCAGCTCTAGTAGGATCCCTGTAGAGCTGGACGCAGCGCTTAGTCGGATCCTACTCATCCAGGGCGCATTTCCATTCGGAATATATGCATGCTTGGCGCAGCCTTAGTAGGATTCTATGTAAAATTGACGCAGCTCCTGTAGGATTCTAGTAGAGCTGGAACCAGCTGCAGTAGGATCTTATTAGAGCTGGGCGCAGCCCTCGTATGGTAATATTGGAGCTGGACCCAGCTCCAGTAGCATCTCATTGGAGTTAGACGCAACTCTAGTCGGATTCTTTTAAAGCTGGACGCAGCTCTTAGTTGGATTTAATTGGAGCTGGACCTTGCCCCAGTAGGATCCTTTCAATGTTGGACGTATCTCTAGTAGGGTCCTCTTGCATTCAAGCTGGGTAAAGCGCTAGTAGGATCCAATCGGAACTGGACCCAGCTCCACTATAATCCTTTTGGAGCTGGACGCAGCTCTAGTCTGTTCAAACTGAACGTAGCTCTACTTGTGTCCCATTAACGTTGGACGCGGTTCTTAGTAGGGTAGCAGGATTGAATTAGACCTGGACGCAGTTCCCGTAGGACGCCAGTAGAGCTGGACGTGGCTCTCGCAGAAGTCTAGTGAGGCTGGACGCAACTCTAATATGATGTTGTTAGAGTTGGACGCATCTCCGGTAGGATGTTGTTAGAGCTGGGCTCAGCTCTACAAAGAATGTGTTCGGGCTGGACGCATCTCTGTATGTATTATATTAGAGCTTGACGCCGCTCTAGTAGGAATACATGAAAGCTGGACGCACGCAGCTCTAGGAGGATTGTATGAGAGCTGGACACAGGTCGGGTGATATTCTATGCGAGTTTGACGTATTTCCTGTAGGATTTTACTCGGACTGGACGCAATTCGAATACGATTCTATAGGAGCTGGACGCATATCCGACAGTATTATGCGAGCCTGACGCAGCTCGACTGGGATTATATGATAGCTGGACGCATCTCTAATACGATTTGAGGGAGGTGGACGCAGGTCGAGTAGGTTTCTAGTAGATCTGTACGCACTGCTAGCAATCTTGTATTCAAGCTGGACGCAGTTTCCGCCAGATTCTATGCGAGGTGGACGCAACTCCACTCGGATTGTATGAGGGCTGGACGCAGCTCTGCCAGGATTCTATGAGAGTTGGACGCATCCGTACTAGGAGTCTATGATAGCTGGACCCAGCTCCAGTGGGATCTTATTGGGCTTGAACGCACATCTTATAGGATTATTTAGTTCTGGACGTAGCTCTAGTAAGATTCTGGTAGGTTTGCTGCAGGAGCTCGCTTCGCTGGCGCGCACACCCATGCTCTGCTTAGAATTCAATTCGAGACCCTTGCTCGGGAAGAGTGGGTGCGGTCGGACCGAGGTGGAGGATCGAGGTCGGTTCGGGGAGGGTGCCCTGATGCTCTTCGTGCTTGTAGGGTGTTTTTTGTGCATCCGTGGGGGTGCCCTCGAGTGTTCTTTCTTTGGCCGTCGGAGGGTGTCATTTTCTTGCAGGGTGTTCTCCTGTCCTGGATTAGGGCATACGTTGCCGAACAGCGAGTCCCTGTTCATTTTGAATCGGGCTCGCCGCCCGTGCCGCCGCGGACGGTGTCCATGCGAGACAGAACTCAACATTTGTTTTCGGGCATCCTCAGAGTGAGGGGGCCGAGCGTTCATTCACTGTTCTTGGGCGTGTGGCTGAAGTGAGGTTCTGCGGTGCGGATTGGTGACCTCTCACTATTGAAGAATAAGTATTGTTGACCTCCCCTTCCGGTGCACATTATACTTGTTCAATTTAACTGACCGTCCCGGCGTTCGCACCCTGTTGTTTATCAGGGAATGTCTTCCTCCTGTTGGCCTCCGGGTTACAACAACATCGGATCCTGTCTGAGACTTCCTCACAATTTTGCCAGGACCCCCCCTCCCGCCCGAGACTTTCTCGCATACGATTGATGAATCGCGCTCTCGCTTGGGACTTCCTTACAATTTGTTTAGGAATCGCTCTCTCGGCGCTCTGGAGTTGCGCTCTCGCTGGAGACTTGCTTGCAATTTACTCAAGAATTGTGCCGCTGCGTGGGAATTTCCCGCAATTTACTCAAGCACCGCGCTCCCGACACTCAGGCACCCAGGATTCGCGCTCACGCTTAGGACTCCCTCACAGATTACATCGGAATCGGAATCTCGCTGCCCTTCGTGGCCCCGTTGTAGCCCTTCGTGGCCTCCTTGCTGCCCTTTCGTGGACCCGTAGCCTTTCGTGGCCCCCTCGCTGCCCTTCGTGGCCCCGTTGCAGCCCTTCGTGGCCCCCTCGCTGCCCTTCGTGTCCCCGTTGCAGCCCCTCGTGGCCCCGTTGCAGCCCTTCGTGGCCCCGTTGCAGCCCTTCGAGGCCCCGTTGCAGCCCTTCGAGGCCCCGTTGCAGCCCTTCGTGGCCCCCTCGCTGCCCGTCGTGGCCCCATATATGTATGCCCTTCATGGCCCCCGTTCGTTCGCGCCCGTCGTGGCTCTGATATGCACGCTCTTCGTGGCCCCGCTGTCGCCCTTCGTGGCCCCCTCGCTGCCCTTCGTGGCCCCGTTGCTGCCCTCAGTGGCCCCGTCCTTGTCCTCCACGGCCAAATCTACGTATGCCCTTCGTGGCCCCCGTTCGTTCGCGCCCGTCGTAGCCCCATGTGCGTGCCCTTCGTGGCCCCTTTGTCGCCCTTTGTGCCCCCCTCGCTGTCCTACGTGGCCCAGTTGTTACCCTCAGTTGCCCGGTCGTTGCCTTCTATGGCCCCGCATTATCTGCCCTTTGTGGCCCCCGCTCGTTCGCGCTCTTCGTGGCCCCATACGTATTCCCTTCGTGTCCCCGCTATCGCCCTTCGTGGCCTACTTCGTGCGCATCGTGGCCCTGGTGTCGGTCTCTCTCTCGCTCTCGCTTTCGCCCGTCGTGGTCGTCGACGTCGACGTCGACGACGTCGTCGTTGTCGGTCCCCTGTCCGTCCCTCTTGGGGTCGGTCTGCCGCCGATCAGCGCTTTCGAGGGAGGGAGGGTATCGAGGGTATGGGCAATTCGCGTTAACTGGAACTTGAGCAGGTAAGAGTGAACAGTCTTAACATGATTAATGTTGTTGTTGAATTCATGTTTGAAGAATAATTATTGTTGATCCCCCGCGTCCGGCGCATATTTTTTTCAATTGAAGTGCCCTTCCCGGAGCTCGCACCCTTTTTTATCAGGGAAAGTCTTCAGGGTCAAACTGCGTCGTTGGCCCCCCAGTTTACAACAACAGCGGCTCCCTCCTGATATTTCCTCACAATATATTGCAGAACTGCGCTCTCGCTTGGGACTTCCTTGCGATTTACCACCGGATCGCGGCTCCCGCTTGATACTTCTTTACAATTTATTGAAGATCCGCGTTCCATTCGACACTTTTGCGGTTTTCATTATCCTTCCGCCCCACTCTCCCAACATCCCGCTTCTTTTAGGGTTCACGAAATTTGTTCCTGACACCGGTTCGCAGCTGCACGTCCCCCCGTGGGGGTATCCACGATATGTTCTTTCAAGGGGGTCGTACGTGGCGCTGTTTATGGCGCGACCCATGGCGAAATGTCTTGTTAATTTGTGTTGGAGTGGCTGGCGCAAACCATGGCGCAAGCTGAATCGCCACTCGCAGCGCAAACCATCGTCCTCCCTCCTTCTTGCCCCTCCCTTCCTTTCCTCCGATCCCTTCGTCCTCATTCCCCCCCCGTTATCTGTTACCCTTCGTTTCAAGGGCTTCACCAACCGCGCGTGGCAGGGAATAAATCTACCCCCCGAAAAGGGGGTTACGATCGAATACGAAGAGGGCGGGAATCCAGGGCTTGGGACAAACATATTTAATGACACGCGAGAGCGAACAGTCTTAAACTGATTGTTGTTGTTTTTGTTGAGTTGGTGCTTCTGAAGAATACTTAGTGTTTGCCCCCCTTTGGTCACATATGTGTTTCCAGTTGAAGTGCCCCTCCAGGCGTTCGCACCTTGTCTTTTTATCTGGGAACATCTTCCTCCTCAAACTGCGCCCCTCGCCCTCGGCTTACAACGACGACAACAACACAAACAACGGCTCCCGCTTGATATGCCCTCGCGAATCATACAAGAATCGCTTTCTCGCGCGGGACTTCCTCGCAGTTTACTCAGGAATCGCGCTCTCGCACGGGTCTCTTGCTTATTATTCAAACGATGCGCCTTCGGCGCTCAGGAATAACGCTCTCGTTTTGGGCATTCCCACGGTTTTCTTGGGACTCGCCCTATGGCTCGAGATTTCCTCGCGGCCTGGGCCCGCCTTCCCGACCTGCCCGCGATGGGCTTGCCCACCCGATCTGACTGTCTGGTTCTACCACTTGTTCAAGTTTTCTTCTTCACCCGTCCACCCATCTTTCTTCACCCGTCCACCCATCTTTCTTTCCATTGGTTTGGGGGCTGCACTGAATGCGCGTGGCAGGTAAGGAACATATGCCCA